CGGGGCTTGACCCCCCCCCCGGCTCCACTCAGCCGCCTCCTCCCACACACACTAAGGGGTTAGCCCCCTCTCTCCACGGGCTCCGCTTACCCTGGCTGTGCTGGGGGTCGGCGGGGGGCTCCGTGGCTGCTGGAGGGTTTTGGAGGGCTTCGGGGGAGCGGGGCCGCAGCGAGCTTTCACCCGCGCGTCTCTCGCCGCTTTCGAGCCTAACATTCATCTCTTGTATAGCAAGATGCTGACATTCACATGCCATACTTTTTTGCTTTCTTCCTCAAAGGGAATACTTTATTTTATCTTAATACTATCTTGCTGAGTAAGACCATCAATGTTCACCTGGTATGCAAGCAACAGTTCAGTGTATGTTCAGGAATTAAATGCAGTGTGAAATCTTGCTGTTCAAGTGTTGAATACAGTTTTGTCCCTACATGAAAACAGTCTTCTGCCAGAAGATGGAAATGTAATATATGTGCTCTTGTACAAGGTTTTGTGTCAAGTAGATGTGATTTTTTTTTCACAGAGATTGCTCTTTGTCCTTAAACCGCCCATTATTTATGGAGGAGCAGTAGAAGTAACAACATTCTAATATCTAGCTTGGATAGAATATTTTCATCTGGGTGTTCTAGTTAATGGCTTTGCCTTGAGAGGTGAAAGTTCATTTTAATTAACTCTGAGTTTTGAGTTACTGTGATCCTGCTATATACTTGGCTCAGAAAGATGAACCATCATGCCAGGCAGCCTCCTGCACAGAATCAGAGTATTGCTTCAGCAACACCACTATCATGTCCAAAAGTGTTGCCAAGACCATGACTTCATTGTGATATTGGCTAGAATTAGGCTATGTATGCACATGCAAATGATCTGGGAGAATTCTCCCAGGTTTGTTTTCCTAGTAGAAAAACTTATCTGGAGATACCTCAACAGACAGTCAAGCACGGAGCTCTTGAAGAGCAGAGAGATTGTAGTGCTATTACTGCGCAGCCGGGGACTGCTATGTACACATTTCAGCATGCACTTTAGGCTTCCTCAGTCTGTGTGGAGATAGATGGCAGTCCTATGGGCTGACCCAGACTGTACTTCAGGGAGACAGGCTGACTCTGAATAGTGTAAGATTGTGAAGGTGGTGTGTTTTGCTCCTTGCTCAGTAGGAGCAGGAGGGTCCAGTGGGTAACATTCTGAAAGGGGGAGGGGAGTGGGGGCATAAGCAAAGCATCCTGGGATGCTGGAGCACTGGGCTGTTGCTTCTCTCAGAAGCCAGTTGCAGCTAAGCCAAAAATAAACCCAGTGGCTCAATTTGATGCCCTTGTATGCCAGCCTCAATTAAATGATTCCATTCAACCTTCCACCTCAAATACACTAGTAGCTTTGGTATTTCTTGTTTCATGGAGCAGTATGACTCCACTTTTCTTCCATCCCCTGTCTCATTTCCCATGCCCCTGAACTGGGAGTGAAATGGGGGCCCTATTCTTCATCAGGGCTATATTTAACCTCAGGCTTTCCCATGGTTATTCAACAAACTCTCCAGCAACCAGATGTTGAGTTATTGCTCTGTGTTGTGCTTCAACTTGTAGAGACTTATTAAATATGTATAAGCTTTTTAAATATATATATTCATTTTAGTTGATGACATTGCTTAGCAAATATTAACTTAATGTCTGATATGACGTTTATAATAAATACCAAGTATGTATTCACTCTGAATATTTTAACGTTTCCCGTGGTCTAAGAGCAAGCATTGGTATGAAGAAAGTCTGACAACTCTGTGTTCTACTTTCTCTTAGTTCCCAACTGCTTTGCTTGATTTTTTTTTTTTTAAAGAAAAGAAAAGAAACAACTGATGAATTAAAGGTAGTATATATCACTTTTGTCCACCAGAATCTCTCCCCTGTTAATTTCAAAGTACCTTGGGATTTCTTTCCAGTGTCTCCTCTGTAAGATATAGCATAACCTCTTGTCCTGAGAAGTTGAAGTTGACCCAGACTTCCAGACAAGGATAGTGAAAAATGTTTTCATCATTTGCTCCTTCAAAGAATGAACAATGGACTTCGTTCTTGATGTTTGCTTTGACCACTTGGCACTTAGTTTCTTTTGTACAAACACTACAAAACCAAAACAAATAGCGTTGCTTTGAAATCCTTGTTTACAGCTTCTCTGCTCTTTCATCTGATTCCAGCAAGTGCTATAGTCAAATTTTGCAGATTGCCTTGTTGGTGCTTTGTGTGTTGTTAAATAATCAGCAATGCAAACAGGGTTGTAGGTGGGGGCATGGAGAGAGTGCTAGGGTAGAAAACAGGCCAGTTGAAGCATGGTAGTACTGTTTTTAATTCTTGGATTTTTTTAATGGGCCATTTTTCCCAAGTAGGTTGAAGTAGTTCATTATAGAATTCAGCCAGTGCTGAGAGGAAAAATTCAGCACCATGGACTAGAATTTTTGCTGCCAAGGGTCTTGGCTTTGTTTTCATAGTTTCTAGGGTCGGAAGGGACCTGGGCAGATCATCTAGTCCGACCCCCT